GATTAGAACAAATTAGCTATAACAATTACGTCAAGATACCATGGGTGTTTTGCCACTTAATTGTAGGTCCCGTTACGTACTTTCCTATAACAAGTGGTTATGGTTAAGCTGATTTATTATGTTTGGTCTGCCACCAACTCTCTCTCTCTCTCTCTCTCTCTCTCTCTCGCATCAGCTCACTAGAGAGTTATATTCTTTCTCTCTCCTATGTTATATATATAGCCAGCAAATGACACCCAAAGTTTGCAGTAAGGAAGTTAAAATGATTAAGTACACAGTATACTAATACAGTCCTGGCGAACAGGAGCCTATTAGATGTTCTCCAATTGAGGATTTGTGTTGACATGCCCCAACTTTTCACTAGAACATTCCTTCAACAGTTTTTTCCTTTTTCTCTGTTAATTTGTTGGTCTTTTGCTAGGTTTTTAATATTAAATACCTCTTCTTATTCTGTTCTCTCTCTCTCTCTCTCTCTCTTTTGTCCTTTGGTGACATTTCAGACCTTTAAGCTGCCTACTTTTTTTTTAATTTTTTTACAATGTTTGTTGTGCAATTTCTGCACGAGTTAGTTGGGTCTTTTGATACCTCTGCTAATATTGACATGCTTTCTTGGAGGGATCTTGGTGGCAATTTCTGCACGAGTTAGTTGGGTCTTTTGATACCTCTGCTAATATTGACATGCTTTCTTGGAGGGATCTTGGTGGTTTGGACCATTTGAACCACTCTTTTCTTGAAAGCAAATTACAAATGAAGCAACTGAAATGGAACCATAGTCCCTTAGTCATTGTTTTATATGTTGAAGTAGATTCTTCATTACTTATTTCTGGATGAAGTAATGCTCTTTGATGTATGCAGGTTGTGGAACTTCTTATTCAAAAATTGGAGAATGAAACAAGTTTCCATCGAAGAGTTGACTTATTGTTTCTTGTTGATTCCATTACTCAATGTTCCCACAGCCAGAGAGGTAAACACCTTGTGCATGATATTTTCCACAGTATTTTTCATTTTAGTCAGTTGCAGTCATAGACGTGAAGTGCCTAATATTTAAGGAAAGATTTTCTCATTTCATCTAGATTTAATTTGTTTGTTAAAAGACCTTCATTTCAATTTATTTATTTTGAGTAGAGATGTTGGATCTGTTTTTAGTCAGAAGACAAAAATTCTTTTTGGTCTCTACTCTTTTAATTAATGAATGTTAGTCATCCAAAGAAGAAAAGCTCCTGCTCACCGAGAGACAGCAGGCAAAAACTTCAGAAAACTCGATTTGCATACTGTACAACAACTCCCTCAGGAAAAATACCTGCTTGGGATTTTTTTTTTCATTGGAAATTTTGCAATCCACCTAAGTAATCATTAGATGATCATTTTCAAAGGAAAATTGGTTCCTATGCAATCTTGGGATGTCATTATTTTTAGACATTTGGAGAGTGAGTTAAATTTTTTTTTGTCCTCCTTTGAGGTTGGTTACTAGGTTCTAGAGATTACATCCCAAATGTGGGATCTAAAAAAGATTCCTAACTTGACTCTTTCCTGATGGGTTAGATGGACAGTGTATACTCCCATCGCAGTAGAAAGTCTTTTGGCAAAATAAAACTGTTGCGTGCCATATCTGTCATGATTAAATGCAGGTTGCCCACATGAGTGGATGAACATCTACACTTTATCATGTTCACGAGGCTCACATATGTTTGCATATTTTTTTTGCTGGGTTTGAATTTCTGCAGGTATTGCTGGTGCCTCATACATTCCTGCTGTTCAAGCTGCTCTTCCACGTCTTTTAGGTGCTGCTGCTCCCACTGGATCTGTTGCTCGTGAAAATCGGCGTCAGTGTCTGAAGGTAATCCTACTCCAGACTTGATTTTCATTTTTTGATTGTTCACCTTGTGTCAATAAAAATGGGATTCACATCTAAGCATTGTTCGCAAAATCGCCCGATCTAACCGCTAACAGCCCGGTTAGATCGGAACTGGCCAATGGCTAGTTCCAGTTTTGGGCAGTTAGGGTGATCAACCAGTATTTAAAAAAAAAATGCAAAAAAATGTATGTAAATTATCAAAAACAAGGAATTTGATTTGTAATGCATTTTTAAATATTCTTTACATTATGGTAAAGATTAAAAATTGTTTTGGTCATTAATACTCACTTTTATATTTTCCTTCTTTTTTAGAAAATTTTCAAAATAGCCATTGGAAAATATAAAATGGGTTAAAATTCATTATTTTCATTAATTATCAACTTTATTTGAATGTGTTTTGTTTTAATGATTCTTTATGTGTTTTTCATATTTTAGTAGATTTTTTTTGTATTTTTTGATTTTTTTTCAACACTTTTTTGACTGCCTGGGACTTGCCCAATTAGAGCGCTATTGAATCGGCCGGTTTACCGGTTAGGCCGGTTAAATTGCTTCCACGCCCATTTCCAGTTAACCGCTCCGGTTCGATTTTGAGAACAGTGCATCTAAGTAACTTACTCTAGATGTAAAAACATTTTTATGCACGTGTTGTAATTTAATATCTGTTTTTTATTAGGTTTTGGGTTTGTGGCTCGAGAGGAAAATCCTTCCTGAATCGCTTCTTCGTCGGTGCATGGAGGAGATAGGAAGTTCAAATGAGGAAATGCCTACTGGCTTCTCTTTAAGACGCCCATCCCGTGCTGAACGCGCAGTAGATGACCCAATCCGTGAAATGGAAGGCATGCTGGTTGATGAGTATGGGAGGTGAGCCGTCTTTCCTTTACCCCTTTCCTTTTTTATATTCTGTTACTCCATCCTTATCTATAGGGGGATTGTTACTGTTCTACTTTTCCTCAAGACCTGCAGTAGGTATATGCATTGGCATTGACTGCATTCCTTTCTTTGATAGCTGTGTCTAACTTGTGAATGAGTGCTCAAGGTGTGGATTAGATAAGACTGGCGATGCTTTTCTCTTTGTTTGCTGATCCCTTTTACTGCAAGGCAAAACGGCAAAACGTCCACCAAGTTTCTCACCTGTAAACCTGTTTTTTCTCATTAGTGTCGGGCCAAATTTTTGGAATTCATAGCTGGCTTTTCTTTCCTTGAATATTTTAATGCCTAGTGTAAATTCTTATCCTTCCTGAAAATATATTCTCTTTTCGTAAGGGAAAAAAAATCATGAAGTGCTTCTATCCTGTGATATTGAAATGCACATATGTAGATCATGTTTGCCAAATGAATGTTGGAAGCACAAAGGACTCGAAACCACAATGGTCGAGTTCTTTTACCTTCTAGTTTTAGCTTTAGAGCAAGTGTTTGAATGTTGGATATTAATAATGAGGAAGAATTTCTTGAGGATCCTGTATTATATCCTCACCCTGTAGTATTCATAGGGGGAGAAATCTTGCCTTTCAGGATCTTGAAATTTTGGTGTTATTGTAGGATAGTAGAATGCTGATTTTTGTTTCCCTCTATTTTCGTTGTGTATTTATTTGTTTTTCTCTCCAGCTTAATGCTTATTCCTACTGTGATTTGCTGCTATCTAGTCATTGCTGCGTGCATTTTGATATATTTTATATCATAGCATACTCTTTTTACTAATCAGTGCATGTCTTCTCCAGCAATGCGACATTTCAACTGCCTGGATTTTTTCCTACTCAATTATTTGAAGATGACGATAATATTACAATCAATATACCCAAAGAGGATGACAATGAATCTCCATCAGGGGCTGCCTGTCTTTCAGAGGAACCACAGAGATTTTCTGATGTTTCGAATGATCGGCATAGACGTGTTCTGGAAGATGTTGATGGAGAGCTTGAAATGGAGGATGTGTCGGCCTCTTCCGGAGATGAGCCAGCTATTGTTGGAAATGAATTTTTTGAGGTGGGAAATCAACAACCAGATTCTGAGAGGTTTGTGGAGCATGAAGAAGGCGATTTATACCCTCCTTTGCCCATGGGTTCACCTCCATTGCCTGCAGATTCGCCTCCTCCTCCACCCCCCCTCCCTCCTTCCCCACCACCGCCGCCTCCATCTTCACCACCACCTCCACCACCATCACCACCACCACCTCCTCCCCCTCCACCTCCCCCACCCCCTCCACCCCAATTACCACATCCTTGCTCACCCCAATTTCCTTACCCTCCTCTTCCTCCTCCTCCTCCTCCTCCTCCACCCCAAGATTGTTGTAAGAATGCAAATGTAAGTTTCTCATAATCTCATAATTATGCGTGTTTAGCTTCAACATTTCTAGGGGGTAAAATTAACTATACTATGTTTCACGCACCTGCATTTGGCAGGCAGGTGAGTTAGAACCTAAAAATTTAGGCAGCTGTCTGGAAGAAATATTTTGCACAAAAAAGCTGCCTTCACCTTATGGTTTTTGCTATTACAACAAATTTGCCCATGGTTTGTTGTAATCATCTCATGGTTTGCTTAAGGTAAAATCATCTCAAAATATTTTGATGGTGCAAAGCAGTAATCTCTCAATTTAGATATTCAGGTTACCAGCATTCGCATGGACGTTTTCCAACAACTGTCTCTCTTTTTTTTCCCCTTAATAAATTACTCATGTTCTGATTCTGGTGTCAATATCATATTTTCCCTTCCTTTATTCAGGATATGGAGGTAAATCGGATGACTGGTGCTGTCTCCCTTCAAAACCATGCGAGTGCTTCCATGAGAAATGAGATGATTACACAAAACTCTTCTCACTTTGTGACACATGGAATAAACCACAGCCAAGATGGATCTGCTTTGGGTTCCTCGAAGCCATTTGAATATGGACAGAGTGGCATGCATTTATCTCATCAATCCCCTCTTGTCAACCAACATGGTCAAACAGCTAATAATCCTTTTCCTCAGAGGTCTTATAGTTCCCTTCCCCAATCACCAAATCCTTCCAATCAGTTCTCTTACGCCAGGACCATTGTTCACCAACATATGACTCAGTCATACCATCATTATGGTTTGTCCTCCCTACAAAGTAGTGGAAGATCCTTATTTAATGAGGAACAGCGGAGGTCACGTCCTGGAGATTCTCCTGATAGGCAACAAGGTATTTGGTTGCCTGGTGGGAGAACAACTACACCAGGCTCAGGGCAACTGCATGTCCAAGAAGGTATTTGTTGCCTTGATTATATATTGACTAAGTGTGCATTTTATCAGAATAAAGAAAGAATGGGCAGTCTCTTAGGAGACATCCAATACTTTCAGTACACAGAAAAGATAAAAAAATTCCAAAAAGAAAAGTAAAGAAAGAATGGGCATGCATTCTAATGATCAATTATCTGGATATATTGGTCTTGATGACTATAGAGATGCTATTGTTCATTGTATAAATTCTTATGAACCTTGCAAAGAAGCTCTTGCTTTGGGGCTTATCCCAGACTTTGTTAAGTTCTTATTTATTGCTGTATCTGATGAAAATTTGGTATTGCCAGGCTATTTTAGGTCGCAAGCAGAAAGATCTTGCTCTAGCTCTATGGGTTACCATCTTTCTGTACAGAATTCATTAGTATCTGGCGGTTCAATGCAAGGTGGCCATCATCTGAAAGAAAACTGCATTGGTACGATGAAATGATCCTGGGCATTTGTTTGGAAGTTCACAGGACAAAGAAATTTTACATGATGAACATCAATAGGGCACTAGATTAACAATCAATCACATTATTCTGTGTGTTTAATTTGGTTTCTTTCATCTTTGTTCTGTAGCTCCTCCAAGTCACGGGGCTGTCCAGTTTTTACCTAGTCGACCAGATGTTTCAAGGCTTAATTGTTGGAGACCCACTTGAGAAATTAGTTAGAATCCTTCATAATTTTTTGGTGAGTTAATGATGTTGCAACTGAGAGTCTGTTGTTTTTTCATTTCATATTAAAATAAGGGGAAGTAGTACCATAAGTCAGCGGCCTATGGGAAACCATAATCAATTGAGGTCAATCCCCATCCGATGCAATGGAGGGTGGGACCCCTAGAACAAGACACGACCCCACTCTCCATCAGCATCCATTTCATGGAGTGTGATGACCCAATTGACTGTGAGTCTATGATAGCCTGTCGAACTATAATGTACTTCCCTTTAAATGAATGGATAATGTTCCCTTAAATAAATGGAGAAAGTCCTGACTGACTGGCTGGCTTTTTGTTCCCCAGTTGACAGTTTACCTGATTTTAGATCTAATTGACTTGCTATTCTTTTTTAATGCAGCTCCATCCATGCGGAATGACACCTTGAATCTTGGAAATGGTCTTGTGATATACATATTGACTCCATTTGCAAGTCAAAGGCAACTTATGTCTTGGAGATGCCCCTTTCCTATAACCTTGTGTTGCTTAAGAAGGGAAAATATTGCAATTGAGCCGAGGCTCTTCGCGGAAGCTGTGTATAGTGTATTTTTTTCCTGAGATCTGCATTCTGCAGATTTGGCACATCTTTCTTCATGTAAGCTAAAGTACTTTTTGGCACATGAAGTGGAAACATGTTTGTATTTTTGGTGATAAAAGAAATAGTTTTGTAACACTTTCTTTATATTTACTGAATATGCTCTTCGGAAAAGATCTGTTCTGTGTTCTTCTTTAAGCTTCCTTAGTTTGTATTTTCTTTAATGGCTGAAAAGGGTTGTAAGTTACTTGGTCATATTTAACATAGACAATCCTCCAATTTTTATAAGAGAAGAAAGTTAACTTGTAGAAGCAAAGTGGATGAGCAGAGCCAAAAGACCTTTATTACATCATATTGTTTCTTTGGGTTCGATGAATGTTTTTGGGAGTCATGTCAGTTAATTGGGTTGCTGGATACACAAAACAGCTAACCCATTACCCAGTGGGTTACAATCGTTGGAAGGGTCATTAAGAGATGCTATGTTCCTGACGACTAGCTTTTAAATATGGGCACATCCTGTTGTCCCACTTCTGGTTGATATGTTCAACCCTTTCTTCATAGGGAACGTGCACTATGATCCAATGGAGGATGGAAAACCCATTGTCTACGTACTCATCACTGTTAACTGAAATGCTGCGCAACGATGAAAAGACTGGATCCACCATTTGGATTATTTGATGTTAATGGGGGTCCCTCTCTGTTGCAATTGACTATTTCATTGCACTGTGATGACCACTATTACCAATTGTTTACCGATGGGCTATAGTCTGATGTCCCTTTTGTTTGACCCTTTCATCCTATCACCTGCTGCACGAACAATTTGCTTGATTTGCAAGGAAATAGTGGTTGTGCTGTCTTACAGTTTTGAAACTGCAACAAGTTTTTGGAAGCTCATATGATATTATGCTTTGGCATTGAAATAGACAAGTTTTTGGAAGCTCGTATGATGTTATGCTTTTGCTGTTCTTGTGGAAAATTTCAATCCATACCTTGTTTTGCTTTCTAAAAATCATCTCAAGTCATGTATGCATATATAAATTATCTCAAATCATGTTTATGGTGTGACCGTATATAAAAGAAAAAGATCACGTGTATGGTGATTTCTCCCACACCCCCCCCCCCCTAAAAAAAAAAGTCATGTATGGTATGCGTATATATAGTTTGGTCATGCTGTCAGAATATATCCATGAGTATATAGGACTATAGCTTAGACACATAGCCATACAGATGTTAGTGCATCCGTGTGTGATTTTGTTTGTGTTCGGTATATTACAATAACTAGGTGGGATTTGTGATGTTCATTCTCTTGAGCTGTATTTATTTATTAGGATTGTAAGTCCAGTCAATATGACTGACTGCTGGTTACGGCTGAATGAGATTGAGTAATTGTAAGTTCACGTAGTATGGTTTCATTGCTTATAATAGAAATGTTTGTTAGCGAGTCTCTCAGTTCTTTTTAATGAGTTTGCGATTGTTCAAAATGAGCAAATCGAATCATGAATAAGGACAAGATCATCAGATTGCAAGGAGCCATAAAAAGTGATGGCCAATATGGAACATATGATATGGATAGTGCTCTTACAACTGTAATGGAACATTATTATCCTGAAACTGTTTCCTCATTTTTGACACTTACGAACTAACTAAAGAGAACAGAGAGGCTCTCAAATAAAAACGATTAAAAGTTTCCATCGTCTATTAGCTTATCTGTTCACTTTAGCCGGTCTGTTCATAGTTGTGAAAAATGAGAAATTTGAATGATGAATAAGGATTTAGACTGCAGAGAAACGTATTAAGTGGTTGTGAAGATGGAACATATGATATGGATATTGCTCTTACAGCAACAGGGCACTGGTCTCTGGTTTCAATGGACGTGAAGGATGTTAAACTTCTCGGGTTGACCTTATGGAAGTCGTGGCCGCACAGTGGATTTCTGGGCAGATCCTTGAGCAAGGGTTTTATATATACATGAAGCATTGGACTTCGTTTGAATAGTTTATTCAGGACTTGCACCGTCTGGATCTGACCAGATCAGAACTAGGTATTCCATCTTTACTTAGTCTTCTAGAGGGGTCCGCTACTTTTGGTTGACATAACATAATTCATGTCTTTATTATAAGGGACTCATTTTAGCGTCTCTTGGATACTACTAACTAGCCTGTTAGGTTAAGTTGTTGATCATACAAATTTGTTGCTTACGTAGAAATGCGTTCCATAGTGTTACTTTTGTTTTTGGTTCTCTCACTTGCAATGATGTGCCTCTGTCTTGAGTTTAAATCTTGGTGGATTAGGAAATGCTGTGTTTGACATACACTTCTGAGACTTGTTGATAGCCTGGTGTTTCTCAGAATCACAAGGACCAAGGGGCTTACTACCGTGGAGGGCTCAAAAGATTAGTTAGGGATAAAAAAACTCTGGGTTAAATATGGACAGCAAGGTCATGGTTTTGGCTTGATTTGGGTTGAGGGTTTGACTATGATGGTTGAAGTTCAGATTCTATGATTAGATAAAGGCTTCTAATGTAAGCATGAAATGATGATTTGAAGCTCGAGGAAGGTAGGGAAGAAGTTAGGGTTATGAGAAATGGTTGGGGGGGTTTTCGATGATGTGTAGGGTTTGAATTAAGGGTTTCAATGGAGGGGAATATTGCTGGACGTCTACATGCCTATCAAGGTGATGGATGGGTTTGAAGGGAAGTAGGCGAGATCAGGGCCAAATTAGGTTTGGAGGGAGGGAACGTGAAGTGGATGTGGAAGGAGGTCGACTATTTATTGGGTTTTGAAAGGGTCAACTTGTTGAGGTAGAAACACTGTGAAGAATCTGGTTGAGGGAATCATGGATGAGAAATGCCACATGAGAGGAAAGAAGTAAGGACCCAAGCTTACATGGGGAGAACTTCCAATTCACAAGCCAAGGTTTAGGAGAATATCTCAATTGAAAGAAGAGAAGGGGCTCTTACCTTTTGTGAGCGACTCTTCCAAACCTTGCCTAGAGCTGTAGAGTTCATTCTCTATGAAAGAGTTGAGTAGTTTCTCATCTAAGGGCAGCGTGTCAGCACAATTCAAAACCCTAATTTTATTGCTCAACTTGAATTGATGTGGTTATAAGCCCGACGTGGGTGTTTATAAACACGTGAGACCCTCTTTATTTGGCTTAGCTTGGGATTCATGTTCTCTACTTTACTGAACTTCCTAATATTAGATAACTACTTCCTTTACAGCTCTAGGAACTAAATACTTACAAAACATTGAAAGAATCTTTCTAGACTCTTAAGCAAAATTGTAGAACTAACTTGCAAAATAAGGAAATAAACAGCTTAACAAAAATTGGGTGAGGATTGTATAAGGTGCCCACCTTATACCAAACAAGTAAGTTGTACCTAAGTTTTGTCATAAGCTGTTGTTCCGGTGTCAGAAATCTTAAGATGGCTTGAAAATCCATGTTCAGCCCTAATTATGAAATTTAAATTTCAAAAACTCTGCAGATGGAGTAGATTTATAAACTCTTGAAACTCTTGAAAATAGACAGTCCAGATAACTTATTACAAGATGCACTATCTTTAGGACTTGAAATTCTTTTCTTTTTCTTTTATATCCATAGATCTCAAGGTAGAGATGATCAATTGGAAGGTTTTCTGACTTTGGAGCACTCTTTCTACTGAATTTTTGAGGTGCACCTTACCTCTATTGTATTAAAGTTACAATCTTATATATATCTTTTCCACAAAAATTTAGTGAGACTCCGCTTTATAATCTTTGGGGCCCACAATATCCTAGAAGACTGGTCTTTCTAGTTAAATTGCCTAGGTTACCTACTCTAGGGTTTCTAGAACTTCATAATGGAAAGAAAGAAATCTCACACACTAACAAAAATAAATTCATCTCCGATTTTTCTAACTAGCTTTCAACCACGATTTGAAGCCCGAGACATCTAATTAATGAAATACCATAGGTTAAGGATTGTAGATCTGAAGAGATTTCCGATTTAAGCTTTAGATAGTCCCAAACGGACATCTGGTTGAAAAGTGATGTCCTTCAAAAGCTGATGATATCACCTATACCACTCGTGTTTTCTTTTTTGTTGGCTAGTGCTGGAGTATCTAACGTTTTTTGGTCTGGACTGTTAGTAATTTCAACTTCAATTATTGTCTAATCTAATGCATATATCCTGTACTGCTATGTAGTAGGCCAGCATACATAGCCATGGCCAAGTAATTGGCTCCATATTCCCTTGCACGACCTGGGAATTTCTGTGAGAGCTCTTGGAATTATTTTCATTGATTGTCACTTTTGTCTGAGAATTGTTAGGCCTTGATAGATCTCCTTTCACTAGACCCTTTGTGAATAATAGCTTGCCTTGTTATTCAACAAAATATAATGGAATGCAGGAATCATTTTCTTCAACCAAGCCATAATTTGAGTAGTGTTTTCGCATGCATATCTGTGGTAGGCGAGTGAATGTTTTTCCGTTCTCTTTCATACAATGCTGGTGTTACCTCGAAGGTTATGTTGGTCTTTTGTTCGATTGTATACTGTGTGCATATGTTTGTTGTGATTACATATATTTAAGTGCAAATGGCTGTGAAAACATGTTATTCGAGCATTGTATCTAAAATTTCTATTTGTTATTTTCTAGAATGTTTCAATTTCAACTTGCTATAATAACCCATGAGGCAAACATGTTTTCCATTTCTATGAAATTTCCCAAATGTTTATGCCTCTCAATATCCCTCCTACATCATGTGGGTGGGAAAAGAGAATTTGTGTTACTTACCCAAAAAAATTTCAAAGACTTACCCCAAAAAAAAAGAAGTGAATTTGTGTTTTGCATCACACACAGGTGTCTGAGATGCCTTCAACTGCTTAAACCATGTCATGCTCCTGTGAATTTTTCGATGATTTTGAGGAGCGAAAACTGGGCCATTGTGATTGCTGTCAAGTTAATGAATTGTTGAAAATTTCAAGTTTGGAGAAAAATGATCATAGTTTCTTTCATATTTTGATGTGTTTGAGCACTCTTTGTTCTCTCTTAATCATCACATTGCTTACTCTTAAGTGAATATGAATTGCTAAGCATGTGATCGGAATTTTGGCTCACTATTTTCTAATAAGATGGTTCATTACAAGGAACATAACTTTGAAAAAGTCTTACTGTTTTGAATGGTACAAAACCTGGAAGCTGGAATCTGGAACCAATGAATTGAATGGAATATTGAAGCCAGAAGCATAATTATTTAGATAGACCTTTTTCAAATGAATATGAAGCCATGGTGAAAGGACGCTCAAGTACCTGCATAGGTGCTTGACTTGTTATTGTTCTTTCATATGGTTTCATTCGCCTTTCTATAAATTTCTTGCCAAGAGTGTTACTGCAGGACAGTCTTCTTTCAAGACTGGTATTACCCTCTATTTAACTACAAAATTTTCTGGCATTTCTTCATTCTTTCGAGACTGGTATTACCCTCTATTTAACTACAAATTTTCTGGCATTTCTTCAGAAACAAAGATATTGAAATAGATACATTTCCTCATGTATATAGAAGAATTGTTTTACTTGGATGGTGTCTAATTATTCTGGAAAATAATTTATGTCATGCAGGCAGAATCAATGTAGAAACTGTGACAGGTTGGGCAATATCGGAGTTGCTTGCTGAAGACGATGTCATTTCCAATGTCAAGTTAGTATGTTGGACAATATGTCTCAAGAAAGAAATTTGGTAAGATTATAAATCTCTACTTGCTTTGATTTCTTCTGAAGCATACAATTTCTCGACAGCTATATGGTTTTAAACTTTTAATGGTAGACAATTTGAAAAGAAAGAATCGGTCTAAAGAGGAAGTTGCTGTATTTTATTTTATGTTGTATGTCCATGATTTGTCACTATCACCAAAGCAGAAACTCACTAGACAATTGTGGCCAATTACCAGTCACAAAAATACTAGTTTACATGAGGAGGAGATTTTTTCTCTATCTTTCGTGCAGAAAACAAGAATGATTTTTTAATGCATAGGAGTGAGCGTCAAGAAAGTATGTCATGATGTTATTGGAACCTCATGCTCTGTATTTAAATCTGATTATCAAGTTCTTGTAGAGCTGTGCCTTATCTGCTTGAAGGCATGCATTCTGGGTGCATTAGTATAGCTAAACTCTTCTTCTTTATAGTTAGCACATGAACAGGAGGGTTATGCCTGGTTACATGAAGCTTACAACCAGAGGGCATCATCTGAGATTGGAGTAGACTAGAAACAAGAAAGAAGCAGAACTAAGGATCCCATAATGAAAGGCAGAACTAAGAAAGCGTTAGAAAACCAACTGAAGGCGTAATTAGAGGTCAATGTAGGGTCGAACTTTGGTTGATCCCCTAAAGAAGTTCAAAAATCAGATAAGAAACACATGATCTGACTGTTGGGGACGTCTGATGTACTGTTATAAGTTCCAGACATTTAGGTCATAGCCTCCAGGTAAAACAAAAGCCTTGTCATCATCCCCTTTGTCATCTGTGATTTTGTTCAAGTCACAACCTAATGCAACCCTGCAATTAAAATTTTCAAATGACAAACCACAAGGAGCTAAGAAGTTTCATGTTCTGTTGGTTTCACACATGCAAGGGCATTGAAAGTGAGAGAAACCATTATCTATTGCCAGTTTTCCCTTCGTACTGCTCTCATGAGAAGTTCGGTTTTTAATAGACAAAAAAAAGAAAATCTGGTGGTTTTTACTTTGTTTTATTTTTTATTATTTTTTGAAATTTATGGCAATCATATATTGCATTCATGGCTGACGTTCAAAGAGTTTATATGTACTAAAAAGTTTGGGATTCCTTTTGAGCCTAGTGTGTTTTGCTGCTTGTGTGTTAATTTCCATTATGTTCAAGGGACTTGCCACCTGCTTAATGTTTTTACTTCCGTAGGTTGAGTCCTCTGACTGTTTATTATTCTTGATTATTCTGACTGGGTAATGCTGGAGGAGATCTAGCATTAAAAGTGTTCCATCTTTATTTAGGGATTGTATGCTATGAGACCATTTATCTTTGTTACAAAGATGTCAGTATTACTCCTGGCCATTAGATATCAAATTGGATGGCTTGAGATGTGTCATGAAGTTCGAGAATTTTTCTTTTGAACTTTGTGTGTAGTCAATGTCACTCGTACAACCATCTGATTTGAAATTTGATGGATAAGAGTAATTGTGAGCTTCTTGTATGAAAAGTAAATGGTCTTTTTGTATACTTTTCCTTTTATTTATTGTAGAGTGTGGTCCCTTTTTGCAATTGGTATTCCTGAAACTGACTTCACAAAGACTTCCGAAGAAGACTCACTTGTTGTGTATTGTCCCCCGGCTTATAAATGTAGCATTTTATTTTTTTGACAAATTGGGTTTCAATCATATTACAAAAATCCAAAGATAATCAAGACTTGGAAGGTTTCTGCTTTATAAAATTTATCTCTTTATGCTCTAGAAGAAATCCACAAGCTATATTTAATGCATGATACCTAGATTCAGGAAATTGTTGTATGGCATAATACTTAGATTCAGGAAATTGTTGTATGGCACGTTCTTATGGGATATACTCCCTATGGCTAAAACACCTACCTAGGAGGATTTTCTGGATCTGAATTTTGGAATCCCATTAAGAATTACCAGATCAGTATTTTCAAAAGAAAGAAATTCAATTTTGATTTCCAAAGTGCTTAGATGTAACTGGCCAAAATTTTGAGGGTCTGTTCAATATTAGGAGGGTTTTTTTTTTCTCTGAACAACATATAGGGCATGCGAATTTCTTTTTTGTTTAGGCTTGTCACTGGTGTGAGGAGATTGCATCCCCAAATTTGGGGTCCTAAAAATGCTCGAGTTCAGTCTAATTAAATTTAGGATATCCTCCCACAGAAGCATATAATCTTTTGGCAGTTTAGTTTTTTTCTTAACGAACTTCAGCTTTTGTAGCTCAACTGTGTTTTCTTGACAAAGATCTTGGAAATTTGTGAGTTTTTGATCTCGTAGTTCTTTATCCCATATCTGATGTTATTTTTGTTCCAGCTCTTCTGTGGTTTTTCCATTTCGCTGTTTCTTTATTGCATAAGTGATTCTATCTATTATGAAAATGTTGTTGAGAAGAAATCAAATAATTGCCTTTATTCGCACTGGGGACTTTTGTGTTTGGAAAGGCTTCAATAGCTGTAAGTCTTATGTAACCATGACATGGACACAGGTGTCTGACTTCATTGCATGTCCAGTGTTCAGACGCAGTGGCCAATATTGAGACATACGAAGACATGCCATACAATAATTATCTTATAACAAAATTAAGAGATCATATAATAAATAGTTAATGTTAATTACACTTACACGTGGTAGACTGCACAAACATGCACAAGATGTACCCCAGCCTTGAGCTCTAGTACTTTCCATAGGGTCCACCATGTCTGGAGTTATTGACACGGTATCCAGATGTCGAAACGTGTAGCTACAGCAGTAATTGAGTTTCTCGGTATTGGGTAAACATCAATGAGGGTTGCTATTAGCAAGAGCTTGCAATCTGTCCTGGGAGGTCCCAATCAAAGACAAGTACATCACACTCTCCATCACTCTGCTCTTCCGCACTCTTAGTGAAGTAACATACTAGCATGAAGAGTTTGTGAGGTGGTCCCTCATCAATCATTGGCCCACCATATTAAAAAGAAAATTAAAATTAATTAGGTTATTATTAGTGCATCAGCATATTTTTTAGTCCATAAATTTAAAAGATTCTTGTTGTGGGAGTTTAGGAAAAATATTGGTTTGGTTTTTATGGCGAATAGTAAATCATGGAATTTTAGTACATGAATAAGTTGCTGATGAAATAATAGTATATAGGCGTTTGACTTGGGTCCCAAACTTGTTCTTATGATGATTCTAAATTCAAAATTCACGAATGTTTATACCCTTCAGTAGCTTAATGTACAGTTGCTCCATTGTGCAAAAGACATGGTTAGAGGGATTTTCTTGACCCATAATTTGGGCTCCCAAACTACTGTTCTCAAGAAAGAAAAAGGATTTAGAGTTCCTAAACACTTAGATCTGACTGTCCAAAAAAAGACAGCATGCGTTCAATCTCCGGACATGATTTTTTTCAGGTTGATTTAGATCCATGTATTTAGTTCTCCCTTTTTTAAGGCTGGCCTCTAGGATGAGTAGGTTACGTCCCCCAAGATTTGCCCTAGGGAGACCAAAGTTCCAACTTGCTCCTGTAGGAGCATATAATCCTTCCGGTAGACAATTTAGAATTCGGTATCATTATTTTTTGCAGTCTTCAGTTTCATTTGATCACATTGAGTTGTATCGACTGAAGTAATAGGATAGGTTTTTAGATTACTGTGGCGTTATGATTGTGATTCTATTGTGGAGCTTTATGGACTGAAATCGGTGGCAAAGGTATAGAAGTGGATCCCTCTTTAATAGCCAATCGATTACATTGAAGAGGACAACACAGAGACACAGAGAGAGAGATCAAATGAGTATTTTAGTGAGATGTTGGCCACTGATGACTCTCTCTCTTTCTCTCTGTAGTCTTTTCATGTGTCATGGCATCACATCACGTTGAAACTTAGATTACCAGCAAAGCATGTGCATCTGTTTTGCTTAACATAGTGAAGTAGTTGGTAGTGATGTGAAGCAACTCTTCACTAGGCGTAATGCTCTCTTAACATGAGCCCTACAAGAGCACTTGAGCTACTATTGTTCATGTTTTCTCTTGCAATTGAAACATGATGTTATTAATATGGACCAGTATTTGGTGTGTGAGTGGGAGACGCATGCGTTCCCCTGGCTTGCAAAGGATTTAGGGGAAAATAAATTCGTACCATATTTTTGTAAATGGTGTGGTTGGTATAAGGTTGTGACCTTAACCAATCAAATTAAGGCGCACTGCCAAGTTTTATAAAATCTCAAACTACAAAAATGGTTCAAATCAAGTAGATCTATAAACATTTGAAAATCTTAAAAATAGCCGGTCCAGAAAATGTGTTGTAAGATATACTGTTTAGGACTTGAAATCTTTTATTCTTTTCATATTCATACATATTGATTCTGAGATGATCAATTTGAGGGTTTTCTAACATTAGAATAACTTTTTATAATAGATTTTTTGTCTGCACCTTAACTCTACATTCTAAGTTTGCAACCTTACATAAACTATTTCCCATCTGTAAGTTCATGATTTGAGTTCCATATATCTTTGAATAACAAATAATTAAGATTAATGGTCCGGAAAAAAGAGGAATCCTTTTTATAAGGTTCAAATATTAAAAATTATCACTTTTAATTGTGATTTTCACTTTTAATTGTGGTTTGTCTTGTATGAATTTTTGGATCCAAAATTCAATGAACCAGCGTATGCTCCGGCACTCCTAAACCCTACATTATAAATCTAATTTCGATGCATTACATTAAGAGAAATAATCATAACAAGCTCACAATGTGGCTTATTTTTTAGTTTCCAAGTAAATCGCATTTGTGCTTGTTGCTTGGTTTATATCAGTAATTCAAAACATGGATCAGTGGGGTAGATCGTACAGACCCTTGTTTGATTGTTGGATTGATGATCCAGATTGGCCCAAATCAATGATTCAGAAAACATAAAAGAATACAATATATAAAAATTAAAATAGGGGTTTACATGTGGGGGAATTGAGAGAACTTCATAAACATTATAAAAGCTTTAAAAAAAATAAAAATTGAAAAGTAAGGCTAGGACCTATATCATTCCATAACTGATTTGATTCTAATTGATTCTCCATCCGGATTGGCAATCTGGATCGGGAATTACTGGTTTGTAACACACTATGCGTATATGCACAATTTGTCTTGAAACGCCGTGTGTATCAATTATTTCTTTATCGTATGAACCATCCAAAATAAATTTATTTAAACATTTATTTCGAGCCTACACTTAAAAGGTGAGTACTGGTCTTGTATGTTTTGGAGTCAAACGTGTCTGCTACCAAAAAAAACTGAAGTATGTATCCACTTAGAAAGGAAAGAGTTTTAGTCAAAGTATCAATCTTGTACTATACAAGTGAGGTGTTCCTAAAAAACCTAGTGGGAAAAGGTTGTTTGGATTTTTGTAAAGGGTGTGGTTTCTATAAGGTTGCAGCCTTAAACCACTTTCAAATTTATCATAATATGTAATTTTGGTGTAGATCTATAAACGTATGAAAATCTCAAAAATGGATGGTCTAGATAATGTGTTGCAAGATGCACTATTTCTGAGACTCCAAAATCGTTTCTTTTTTTTTCATATGCATACATTTCGATGTCGAGATGATCAATTAGAGGGTTTTTCAACATTAAAACAACATTTTCCGATGGATTTTTGAGGTGCATCCATAATTCTGCATTTAAGTTTGCAACCTTATATAAACTTTTTCCTTTTGTAAATCCTCCAATTGATTGTTTTTACTTCAAGATGCATGGTACTAAAAGGAAAAAATATTCCGTAAGTCTTTAAAATCGTGCATCTAACTATTATTTAGATGGTCCATTTTTAAGATCGCGAGTGTTAATAGATCTTCTTGCATTGTGCCCTTTAAAGCTTTAAATTTCACAAGTAGGGATGAAAATGGATTTTTTACACTATCTGAAGGGTTTTCATCAATAGAATCGCGTATTCCATTAGGGTTTAAAAGAAATTTTACTTTCTATTTTCCCTTGAGATTGTGCACAATGAGTTGATGAGAAATGGTGTTTCGAGCACAAAGGTCACAATCATGAAAGGTTGTTTGAAGTGAAACTTGAACCCTTTACTGTATTTTATCGTACGTATGATTTTATGTTACAATCCCAATCTGCTTAATTTCACATCTCACAACTCACAAGGGTGAGTTTTTGTCTCAAAACAAATGGTCTTATTATGCATTTTTTGTAATTTTTCTTTGTTGAATGCAAAAAAAATTGGAAAAAAGACGGACCTCCCTCTCTAAAATTATAATTTGAAATATTCCCCTGGTCCTGTAATAACCCCTCAAGTCAAACAAAAAAGATGTTTAAGCTGGTTTTCACCTTTTTTATTTTATTTTTTATTGTCCAATTACAAAATTTACCCTACTTTAATTGATAATCTCATAATAAACATTGAACTTGTGATGCTACTTTTAACTTACTTTGAGATTCATGATATGAGAGAGATAGTATTAAGGAAACGTTGCTAGAGAGAGGAGGAAGTGGGTCCTCGGTGAGGAAGAAAGAGAAAAATTAACTTTTTTAGGATTTAGATAACATGGTGATTAAGAAAAAAAAAAGAAGATAATTTAAACAATGGAAAAAGTAAGGAGGGGGCTAATCGTCTTCTTATGTTCGATTTGAGGGGTTCTATAGAATATTTGTAAGTTCAAGGGGTTTTTGGGATTACAATTTTAGAGAGAGGGGTTTGGTCGTTTTTTCCCAAGAAAAGAAAAGAAGGTGTCAGAGAAAAAAAAAAAAGGTATCAGAAAGGAGGTGCAAGGTTTTTGGATCATGCTGTGTGCAAGTTGGTAAAAGCAAAGTGGGTATACATGCACCACCATCTCTTGGCACGGAATCTAATTTGAGGTGAAACGCAATGGATACACATATTCCCTAAATTTGTAATATCAAGAAACCTATAGGTCTGCCCCCTTTAAAATGATCAGGAAAACAAAGAACTCCTTTGCATCTTAATTGGCCGGAAAAGAAAAATGACCAGCACAACATTTCGGTATTTATTTATTTAAAATCTGCGAGGAAAAGTAAGTACTTTACCTAAAATTAGGATGATGTTGCACCCTGCTACCTGATGTCACCGTGGCCACATATGTCTTGAGCATGTTCCCAAGCTTCTTTACTTGTTCAAGCCGTGTATAGGTAATGGAAGGCATAGACGAGCATATGTGAACTCTCTTAAAAATTGAATGGGCCTTTAAGTGTCGAAAAGTATAATTTTTTGGGTAGTTAGAAGGCGTGCATTCTTAAAGATGCATTTGGATAAAGATAAAGTATTTATTAAAAAGTTGAATCAAAATTTTATGATTATGCATTTGAAATCGAGTTTTTAGAAAAAGGTCTACATCATAAGGAGATGCAAATTAGAAAGTAAGTTACCCAAAATTTCCACTTTGTAAAGTACCCCAGAAGCTGTCCCTTCCTAATCTGTACTCTTGACTGCCAATATCCCCACCCAAAAATGTGGTTTCATATATGCAAAATAGGTTCTTCCTCAAGAAAAATAATTATGTCAAATAGATATACCCACAAAGTTATCCCTTGACATATAGAGTACCTGAAAATCAATGGACATATATATGCACAGAGGAGATGCACAAATAGTACCAAGAGATGTAGATAAGCAAGTTTCCACAAGGACTCCTGAGACCGGGGCACATGAGAAACCATGGAGATATAAAGATTTTAGATGTGTCTATATTTGGGAATCTGAACACTAAGATCATTGTATATATAATGAATAAACAATTTCATGATGGATACAATTTGCAATATAAAGCTTGATACTGCATTTTTTTTGCCTTCTAATTTTCCTAAGCTCTCTCCCTCCCACGCACACATGCTGAGTATATTACTTAATGAGAAATATTAGATTTATCCCTAAACACATCCAGTGAATCAAACTCTATACCTAACTAAAAAAACATCGCCAAATTCTTTCTCAAAAATGCCGAGTAAATAAGACTCCAATATTCAGTTTACCTAATTTAAAAAAATGACCAAATTCTTTCTAAAAAATGCTGAGAAAATAAGACACCAATATTCAGGATTACAAAGCTTTTTTTTAAAAAAAAAATGTTAAACCGGAGGATTACGAATCTGTTATTTAACATTAGTAATAGTTATTACTTTTTCAACAAAGTGAAGGTAATTTAGCATTAATTATTTCTAACATTTGTAATACAAGATCCTGACAAAGAATAACTAAAAGGTTATAATTAAAGAATATTAACAGTTGAAAATCCCGACATAATAAATTAGAGAGCAATGATCCTATAGGACCCTCTTCCGCCCATGTGTAGGACCCCAAAGAATTACTGGTAAATTTGACACGATCTTTTTGGATCCTTAAAAAAGTTATCAAATAGGTGTAAAACTGGATTTTTTTAAATATCCGTGTTATATTTAACACAAATCCTTCAAGCTCCTACACACATATGGGGAGGGTGGGAAGGGGAGAGTCTTATAGGATCATTTCTCTAATTAAATAGACAAAAGAATATGATTGACCTCGAGCATCTTCGAATGCACACGTCACTAGCTAGTATATAAAAGCATTGTTTCAGGCCAAGCATATTTCATGTTTCAGTTTTTTCCCAATAAATAACATTTTTTTCCATTGAATGGGGTATTGGGGTACATATACTTGTGCTTATACCAGTCATGGGTCATGAACTGGGTCACTTCATGGTTCAGATTTTCCAAACCTGCCTTGGAACCCTGCCTGTCAAAAAGAACAAAGACGCAGAAATCGATCTTTCCGAGACCAAAGCATCACATGTTGAAGTCACCACCAAAACATAAGTAATGTCCCATAAAGAGCAATTTTCCGAAGCAATAAAACACAACAACAATGCATTATTGGGGTTTGCATAAAGCACCATTTTCCAAAGTAGTGCGAATGGCACATTTAAATCAAAACAATGGGCTTTGAATAAATACAAAAAAGATAAAAAGGAGAATTGCACGATAATATAATAAACAACTAATCATTCATTCCTATAACCACAGCATGAAATAGTGGTTGAGAGTAGTAACATGGCAGCAACCCAGACCATAAAACATTTACCTTTTGGCACTCTCCATTGTTTCATCCATACTCTTGCTCCGAAGAGATGCTGTTGAGCTCGCTTATTACCCACTTTCGATGCAAAAGCTACGCTGTAAATTGGAAGGCCCAACTCGTTCTCGGCAAGTAACCTTCCTCGTGTGAATTTGAATGAATTGAATCTCTTGTTTCCAGATCATGCTTTTAAACTGTGTACATACAGTATATGCACTAACTATACCAAACATGCCTAGGGCAACAGCTAGTCAAGAGCCGCCTTGCTCCTCCAACCCATGGGCTTGGGAAGCCCATCAAAAATGGGCCTCGCAATGGTTGCCGCAGAGAGAGACTGGAAATCGGGCTTCAAGGCCCGCTTAGGGCCCCCCAGCCTAAGGGGCGAGACGTTATCTTGGTCCTGCAAATTCGATGTGCTTGAGGACTTGCGCACCGCACCAAAGCCATCGGCCATAAACGAGTCACCAAAGGGCAAAGCATTCACATGAGCCCCATCCCCATCCCTTAAGTTAGAGGAAGAGGCCCTATTGCGCCTAGGGGCTGGACTCACCTTAGATGGAGGTGCATCCCCCACAAGGGTACTCTCAGTCTTTTGCCGCCTTCTTACTGACTTCTCGCCTGATCTCTCACTCTCTGAGTCACCGGCTCCTGACATAGGGACATCCTCCGGCAATAACCCATTACTCTCAGGCAAGAACCCATTGATGAGGCTCCTGGACTTCCGATGCTTGTTAACAGGGAAATCGAAGGGTAGAGACTGCGGCTCATCCTCTAAAGACTTGCCTCGACTGCTGCTTCCTGTTTTGTAAGTGGCCATCTCCATGCCCTCATTATTGGTATAATTGCTATTTGCTTTGGAAAGTGAGAGGCCATAGTAGCCTTGTAAGCTGCTCATGGCTGGAGAGACTCTTCTTTGTTGTGGAAATTTGAGCTTGAGCGACTGGACTAGCTCAGCAACATTACTGCTATGACCGGCTTTTGGCCGGCGTTGTTGGGTCGGACCTCCTGTTCCATTACTGCAATGGAGTTTCAAATGGGCTGATTAGCTCAGTTTCCCCTATGATTATTATGACATCAAGTAGCTCAGCATGATGAAGTGGAGACGGGGAGAGCGGAGAGTATGCAGAAAATATGCCGTAATCCAATGGAACCATTGAAATGATTTGAGGGTGATGGAGATGGAGAGGAACCCGCCAAAAGTTGACAAAACATAGCGTTCATTTTCATGTAAGTAACAAAGCAAAATTTTCATTCACTACTGCCATATACATCAGGTCCAAGTTTGTTTTACAAGCCCCTAGACTGCTACACTAATGTAATATTATAAATTTGTTTCAAAGAAATGGACTACTAGTGGGGAGTCCCACCTGAAACCCATCCAATTAAAAATACAACAAGATAAAATATGCATCATTTGCCAATACGTTGTTGGCAGGCACTTCATGTGTGTGTGTGTGTGTGTTATGGTTATTGCAAGAAATCATCTTTGGGAATCTCCATTAACAACAAACAAAAGATTACCAGCACAATGACAATGAAGAGAAATCCAGAGATTAGAGAATGGCGAGATATTACCATGTGTTAAAGAATAATAAATTTCTAACATTAGCCAGCAACATTAGAGATTTTAAACTAATTTTTTATTGTGAAATACAGATTTTCAAGAACAACCAAACACAATAATTGAGTTTTGCGATGACACAAGAAAAATTGTACCTCAGACTATTGGAACCATTTGACACGATAGGAGATGGCGGATGCCGCCCAGGTAGTGGTATCTGAAGTGATTTATGAGCAAACATCTGCAGATCTGTTACGAGACCGTTCATTCGTTTTATATCAGCTACCTAACACATTAAAAAGAAATTAATGCACCATAAGACAACAAACAGAAATATGCAAGAGAAGTATAAATGTATCCTTCAGATGCATGAACTATCGGATCTTCTATGCAAAAAAGTAACCAAATCAGTCACTAGAAAAGATAGAGAGGAAAAGAAGAGACCACCGAAGAGGCATTGGTTTAAGCTCCAAAACGAATAGATGACAAGGAGAGTGTAGAGAATGCGACACAGGAAGATTCCTTCTGTAGAAGTTACAAGTGCCCATAGAAGCAACCTCCTTATTAACAAATAGGAGGCATCGATGAAGAGAGTAGAAGTTTTACTGAAGAAGGAACAATCCGACACCCTCCAGAGAGGGATGGAAAACAATCCTCGAAAGCCTTAGAGAAAGTACAATTTAGACCCTCCAATGCGAGCCTCTCGGAGGGACCAAGAAGCCTCAAACAAGACCACTGGAGATCTCCTACCACTCATATTCTCAGAGACCGGCCATGTCACATGAGAATAGAACCACGCATGCGGGTGTTGTATCTATGCATCATATTAAAAAAAGAAAAGAAAGCAATCTACGCATGATATGAATTTACCAATCCATGACAAAGGGTCTATATGCGACGTATGCATGAAATGCACGACTATTTTAATGCAAAAATCGAGGTTTCAAAAAAAGCTAGGTGGCCCCTAGGCGAGTGCCGGAACCTTAGGCGCCCTGTTGTACAATTTATATAGATATATAGTATATATACATATATTTGTGTCAATTTTAGAATTTATTACATTTGAAAATATTGTAACATATTTTTTTATGTACAAAAATATGATATATCGCATGCTGAGAATAAATTTGTACAAAATTCAAACCATACAAAATTTAAAAGTCTAATAGGATATGTATTAATAATAGTCTCCAACTCTCCATATTTCATAATAAGTGAAAAGGTTTAGGAAGGTTCTTCAAACCACAAACAATGCTTTTGATTCTCAAAAACAGGTATAGCTAAGGGATTGAGGGTTTATGGAATTTTTTGGGGGTTGAAAATAACCCCCATAACCTATTGAAACCTCAAAATTACCTCATTTTCCCTATTGGGTTTTTTTTTTTTTTTAAAAAAAAAAAGCCATGTCCCTGGATGCCCGCCTAGGCACCCAAGTACATCCGCCCATGTAAGGGCCGCCTGGGTCTGGGCGTGTGGTATTTTGGTCAAGGCGGACGCCTCCGGGCAGACCGTTTTTTAAAACATTGGCATAAAATACAAACACATACCATGAACATGTTTTTGTTATATTTGTTGGTTTGATATTTAATGAAAAAACACAATACACATCGTCCACATTTTCGGATATTAACTAATTTTGTGGGGAAGAGTCGAATTTCACAAGACCCACCAAATCAACTTGGCTATTCAACTGAGGCTTCGTACGCCGAGCCATGTAATAATTTGTTCTGACCCAACTATGACACCAATAATTTCTAAATGCACAATTATTTAACTTCTACTTCATATTAGTGATAGCAACCAAATTTTATAAATATCAATTATAAACTGAAAGTCTAAAGGAAGGACTATAACATTCTGCTAATCATAATTTTCTCTTTAAACATTACCCCCCCTCCCGCCCCACAAAAAAAAAAAAAAAACCCAAAACAAAAAAAACAAAAAAAAAGAGTACAAGTAGAAGAAAGCTGGGAACATATAATTTGTATTCTTCAAAATAAAAGAAGTGACAAGTAGAGCATGTAAATGGAATGTCCATATGTAAAAAGCCAAGTATGTACATATTGGATGCCAACTTGGAGATCAACTAGACTGCCAATTGGGAAAATTTAGTAACTTGCAAAAGATAACAAGTTTCAATAGCAACCATCTGACACTGCACACTAAAATTCTTAGGTATGTATATCAGACAGCCTTGAAAAGCTGCACTTCCCCTAAAATGGGTGATATAACTGCACTTCGAACTTTTGAACTAGATATATTCAAAACCTATCCAATTCCTAGAGTATAAGATTGACCAAGTAAACTTTACCTCCACACAGGGTAGTAGTTCTTTCACAACTAAGACCATTGTAGGCTTAGCTTGCCTTGGATAGCCATCCTTATAACAGAAGATGCTTCTACCCAAAAACATCGCTGGTTTAAATACCTCAAAGATTTTAAGTATGGAGTTATTGGCTTTTCTGGTTAAACCAACTCTTCAACCCAGTTGGAATGCTGATATCATCATGATCTCAAAAGCATCTACGTTAGGAAAGTGAGGAAAATTAAAAATTTGGGAAAATACAGGAAATTAGGTAATATTTCACAAGAAAATAAAGCATTAGGAGTATGAAATATATTCTCTAAACTCTCAACAAAAACACATATTTTCTAAAGTAGAAATGCGACAATTTTTCATATATACTTAGCAAATGAGAAAAACTAGGAGTTGGAAATCCCCTCTTTTCTTCAAATAAGAAAAATTATTTTTTCTCAGGGAGGATTTTAGGGATCTCCCCCCCACTCCTAACAAAAGAATCATATAGCAATTGGGGGCCGGTTTGATTAGTTTGACAGATACGTCTATTTTTTTTTATATATTTTTACAGATTTATTTTGAACTATACTGTTCCCAGTTTACTGTCCCATACAACAATCCAGTCTGTTTAACAAATAAGCCCAATCTCATATTGCAATGATGTCCAATAGAAAATCAACATCAGATATTGCACTGTAATTTCCACTACGGAGGCTCTTTAATGAGTGTTGTAATTGATCCACAACTCCAAATTTTGTTACATACACATAGAGACTTTTGTTACATATACATAGAGCTTACAATGTATACCAAATTTTTGCCCAGAAAACAGCCAGCTATTTATTCAAATAAAAACGATATTTATTGGCAATTAATATAATGAATGTTGAAAAGTATTGCCATAAATGTCAACCATCAGAAAGAAAGTAAAGAGGGAAACTGAAATAAATGGATGGGATTCTCAAATTGTTGTATATTATTTTGAATATTAAATCCGTCTCAGTCTGGCTCTAAATAATGCAGTTTCGTACCCATGATCAATAAATTATGCATGTCCATGGTGTAAAAACAGTGCTAAATCACTTGAGTTGTGGATACATAGCCCACAAAACTCCATCCACAACAGTTAAAAAAAGAAAGATAAGTAAAAATCCACGGTTCTATGAAAGATTATCATATAAATCAGTAAAAAGTAACATAGTTCCCCCAACAACTGCAAATATCCCACAGACAGTTTCACAGTCTTAGATATCAAAACATAAACTTTATGAACATCTGGAAATGAAATCTAAACAAAAGGCAGCAATCATGAAGGCACCTAAACAAATCATGCATCATTTCACAAATTGTTACAGCAATTCATCAAGCACTTACCTCGACTCCATACTTGATCGCCACACCGGCTAAACAAATCATGCATCATTTCACAAATTGTTACAGCAATTCATCAAGCACTTACCTCGACTCCATACTTGATCGCCACACCGGCGAGAGTATCCATTTTCGAGATGTGATGCTCTATATAGTTTACTCCTGAGGAAGACATGATAGCAGATGAATTGGAAGGCACAGCCATGAACCTCTTATCCAAATCTCTAACACCATTCCCTTCTAAATCACTATCATGATAAGAGTGAGTACTTCCATGTCTTCCATTTTGAAAAGAAAAATCCATGGCTAAATTAATGAAATCCAAATATCAATCACTCGATCCTCATCAGAGAAAACCTAAAATTCTCCCAAATATGAAAATTTAATCAGATGATCAGAAAAAACTACTGGTCAACCAGAGTCACTAGAAAAATAGAACCCTGCATTATCCTGGTAAATCAACAAATTGCACCAATTATATCAGTAATTTCACGAACCATACAATTCTCCACACTGATCAGAGCCACACGATTGCAAGTCAAGCCCTCAAGTCACCAGATCAACGACCTCACACCTAAAAACCTTCCATTTTCTATTTCAGCACGCATTCCTACACAAATGCCTTCATATCTCAAGGAATCCAAAAGGCACACCAAAATGATAATGGCGCCAATCTTAGAGGGAATATAACTCTAAATCAAGAAAAAATCAAGCTATTAGAGAGAAAACCCTAACCCCCTGTATCTATAGCTTCTAATTTCATCAATGAAGCCAAAAAAGTCATCAAATGTAGCAATCGCGCCAACTGCACAGGGATCAACCCCTAAATCATAGAAAAGAATTCGAGATACAAGGAGACAAAACCCTAATTCCAGGATCTAGAGATTTCTCTTTTTATTTTTGCCTCGAAAAGCCTGCAACGGAAGAGGGAAGAAACCTGCAATTTCAGAGTCGGAAAATAATCGATGAAACGTGCTTATATAGTAACCACAGAGGGGTTTAGATTTAACCATGGTTATTTTGAGACGGGTTTCGGACGATTTCCCCACGTGGGAGCCTATGAGTGGTTCTTTGAGTTCTCCTTTCTTTGATGTTTTATTCCCTGCTTTTGCACTTTTAAAAATAATGAAGATTTATTCAACAACCCCTACTTTCTTAGTAAATGACTAAAATCTCCTTCAACACTTTTTAAATACCCAAAAGAACCTTCATGAAAAAATACATTTCCTTCATCAACAAATAAAGAAAAAAAAACATTTTAGGCTTATTAAAAAATATTAGATTTGATTTTTTAGCCCTAAAAGAAGGATTACAAATGATTTCATTGCTTTGAGCCCTAAAAGAAGGATTAGGAATAATTTTATTGTTCTTTCTTTTAGCATTTGTTGAAAAATATGTTGAAGGAATTTGTTATAGAAAAAATAACCTAGAATAAAATAAGGAAAAAGATTATATATTGTTGCAACCATAAAATGTAGAATCACATATGCACTTCAAAAATCTATCAAAAATGTTGTTTTAATGTTGAAAAAAACACTCTAATCGATCATCTCGACATCGGGATGTATGAATATGAAAAAAAAGTTTGAGTCCCAGAAATAGTGCATCGTGCAACACATTATCTAGACCGTCCATTTTCAAGACTTTCATATATTTATAGATCTACTTAATTTTAACTATTTTTGGAATTTAAAATTTTTTAATTAGGTATAAAAATGATTTTAAGATAATACTAAGAATTTTTTACAGCAAAATTAAATGTTATGATAAAATTTTAAGATGCGCCTTAATTGGATTGTTTAAGGTTGCAACCTTATAGAAACCGCACCCATAAAATAAAACAGTTTCCATGTCCATTCTAGATTTAAAGAAAAATATTTTAATTTGAGTGAATGTTTCTTTTGTTAGTTTAGGATTTTTGATAAAATTCTAGTGTGTAAAGTTAGTTTATAGATAAGAAATGTAGAGAAGAAAATCTCTATTATAAAAATATTTTTTTGTTAGCATGTGAGATCTAATGGGTTCACCGAATAGTTTGAGATATTTGTCAAATTGCCAATGTGCATGTAAAAAAGGTTTTGATTTCTATCTTTTGTTTGTAAATAAATGGTTAATTGCCTATTCAACAACTAGTTGCTTTCTTAGTAGTTATTTTATTGTATTTTAAAATGCAAAGCCCTACATCTCCTTTCTTTTTCTACACTAAGCCTCCTTTCTTTTTCTATACAACTGTTATCTGAAGCGAATTGGCCATTGAACGATTTGGCGTTTGATCTAATCAAAATTGACATGATCGCCAATCAAACCAGTTGGATTAGAATTTAAAGAAAATGGGTAAGTAATAATTTTAAAAAATAAAATACATTAAGAGAAATCCCTAAGTTTTTTTTAGCCATTACATCTAATCTAAAAGCACCTGCAACCCAACCAAAATTATTTAACTATAGTTTTGACTAGTATTCAAAAAAACTCAAGCTTTTTGTTTTGAATTAGACAGGCTAAGGCACTAATAAGCTAATAGGATTGGCCGATCTAGTTTGATTCAATCAAATGCGGCTTTTATCGATATTATTTATATAAATTACTTTATCTAAAGGTTTTAAAATTAGTCAGACTAAAACATAATATATGAAATACAAATTTAGTCATAGTTAGAGTAAAAACGGGGAAGTAGTTAAGATTGATGGTCAAAAATGCCTAAAAGAGAGTATTTTTGTTATCTTTGATCAATAATCCATGAAAATGAAGAGATTGAAGAAAATGACACACATAGAGTTAGAGTCGGGTGGGCGAAATGGAGATGTGCAACTAGATATTTATGTGATCGTCGAATACCAATGAAGCTAAAGGGAAAGCTCTATAGGACAGCTATGAAACCAATTTTGCTTTATAAGATGCAATGTTGGTCGGTTAATAAACTACATATCTATAAGATGAGTTTAGCAGTGATGAGAATGTTGAGATGAACGAGAGGCAAGAGATAGAGTTCAAAATGAATAATATGTGAAGGAACTTCGGGGTGGCTCCAAATGAGAGCTAAAGAAGATTAGGAGTGATTGTGACCTCCTTATAATAAATGATCCCATTGTATATAATCCAATTAAAATTGATCAATCTTTGTAAGACCTCAATCAAGATATTATATATGAATCTTTTATATTTTTAATTCTTAATTTTTTTGTAAGCTCCCTCAAGATAATGGATATTCGGACCATAAACAATGTTGAAAATAAAGATAGTAACCCAGGAAAAAGAACACAGCAATAAAGGATAGAGGTGCTCACGGCTCAGGTATTGTAGAAAAAGGTTTGGGGTTTCTATTTGGAAAATTTTAATGGTTTCGAAATTGGTGGGAATATTAGGCACGCACATGGCTTGCCTGGGCACACGTCCACTGGTGCACAGAAAGAAGTTCAGGCTTCTACCAGGGTTTTAGAGCCTGACACACAAGTTTAGAAAATGAGAGAGAGAGAAAGAGAGGTGTCCAAATATTTTATTTTTTCTCTTTTGAGCGATTCTTGATAGTTAGAGAGAGATATAAGTAAGGGCCATTCTTTTGGTTTCCTCCAGTCATATGGACAGAGATGCAACTACTGCCTATTCTATTTGTTTGTGAAAAATATATGTAAATATTTTATCTTCTCTTGGTTTACTTGAGAGTGAGATAAATTGCAACTAGTGTTTTTTTTTTTTCTTTCAAAGTAAATTAGCAGGAGAGGGATCTTCGACCTATGATAGGAATGGAATCAAAGATGTTATGTAATGGTACTATACCACTATGACCTAATCCATTGCTGAGTGATTATTCTAACAGTCTCCTAAACTATCAGGAAAAGAGAGAGAACTAGAGATGCAACTAGTGGCTTGACAACCATATATAGAGTGAGCTAACTAGAGATGCAATTTGTGGTTATTCTCTTGGTTGCCTTTACAACTATAGAGATCGAAAATTCTAGATGCAACTCGTGGATGCCTAAAAAAATAATGGAAATCAACATTGATCATGTACATTGGTTGGTTTGTAGGATGTGTGTTAGATTGAATCTGAGCTGTCTTACTTACAATGTTTAATAGCCCAATAGGATTACAGACAGTTTGCACACACACATATATAGAGAGAGAAGTAGTAGTTATTTTTTTTGGTTTTTTTTCCCCTTCGAAAACAATATACTCTGGTTAGAGCAAACAATGTGTTTGCATTCTTAGGCGGTTGACCCACTTTAGTAGGATTTTCCTGATTAGATGCTCTAGAATCCTCTTATTAAAGTTACCAAAAATGAGGAAAGGATTTTGAGATTGTTTAAAAGTAGGGATCTAGTGTTGACTCAAGCACTCCCCAATCTATGTTGGTCACAAATTCCTCGGTGTTAGCCCTCGAAATGAGGAAAAAGAAAAACAAGAAGAATTGGGAAGTGGAGGCACACCCTCGAAATGAGGAAAAAAGAAAAAAACAAGAAGAATTGGGAAGTGGAGGTTTATGTCTTAGGTCCTAGCTAACCAAAGCAATTCTGAGTCAGCTCGCTCGTTTTTTTAACCAATTTGAAAATTGACTTATATATCGCTATAAAAAAAAAGAATTACATACAATGAGACTATTTATTATTATTATAAAGATGTCACAATTGCTACTAGCCATTAGATATCAAATTGGATAGATCAAGGTGTGTCACAAAGTTTGAAAAAAAAAATTTAACTTTAAATCTAATCAATGACACACTCGCAACCATTTGATTTGAAATTTGACAAAAAATAAATGATCTCTTCATATACTTTTCCATAAAACACAAGCAAGACGATTTCTATGCAAAATCTAGGGTCCCGAAAAAACCACCCTTCTCCAGCTTTTTGCCAAAGGAAGCAATTGTACATTTGCTCCCAATGGGCATATAATCTTTGCCTTTTTTTCCACATTATTTATACTTGGAAATACAATGCGGTCAATGCAATGGAAACAAGTCTCACTATCATGGAATAGTCTTTTCTAGAGGGAAGATACTCGTATATTAGTTATATATCATATAAGCCATTTATAATAAAGTGTGAATCCTAAGGTTTGGCATCTTCTTCACTTGTCTTTGGAAGTTTGAAACCGAGTGGTGGGAAGATAGCCCTTCAAGTCAAATGGGGGTCCTCATATTTTAATGCCTTTCTAAAATTACTAAAATTATTTTAAGCAATATTTCTACTATATACACCCCCCAAACATGGGTGGAAATATTAATTATCTCTAATACACCACCAGAGAATTTGGGTGCAAATAGCAAAAATATACGTTAGGATGGTGATCTCTTGTGCTGAGAATTTTAATTTGGAAGTTGAGAGTTCTATTTTTTGGGGACAAATTTATGTGAATAAACTATGATCAATTGCTAATTTCTAAAACCTGTAACTAGCCTTGGATTTTAGATGGAGGTCAACCCTAATATTTCTTTTATTTGAAATATAGGTGCCCAAACTCTCCAATTTCTAAAGGGTGTGGTTCATATAAGGTTGAGGCCTAAACAATTAAAGTAAATCGCATATTTAAAGAGTGCTGAAATATGTTCTTTGAATGTGAAATTTTTACGGTGGATTGGAAATTTATTTTTATTTCTAATTATAAATTTTATAGATTAAAAAATAGTGTAAATTGAGTAGATCTACAAAAAGTGAAAATCCTGAAAATTTACGATCTAGATAAGTCAAACATCTTGAAGTCGAGATGGTCAAATTTAGGGTTTTTCATAATCTAAACAACCTCTTCTAGTAAAGTTCGTGATGTGCACCTTAATTTGATTGTTTAGGGCCTCACCCTTGTATAAACTTCTCCCATTTCCAAATGAATATTCATACATTCCATTAATAAGAAATCTAGTTAATTTGGAGCATGATGGTTAAAAATGAGAAAATTAATTGGGGATTACATCCAATTAGAGTCTTAATTTTCGCACACAAA